AAAGAAGGATTAGGAAGAAGGCGTGAAAGTATAACTGAGCAGGGACTAAATGGAGATAAAAGTCGATCCTTCAAAAATAAGATCAGATGTTGCACACATTAAGGGGATACCAATTGATTAAAATAAAAATAGAGCCTAAAAATATGAAGAGAATACATAAAAGAAACTAGAAGAAGAAAACCCCTTAGAAATCTAAACTCATAAATGAAAAAAAAAACTAAAAGAGATAAGACAAAGCCCCAACAATGGTCAATAGCATGGTAGAAATGACGGTCAGTGACTAGCCAGAAGTCTAGCGACGACTGATGACCGGGAAGAAGTCTAACGATTGTCAATGGTCGAGTAGAGATCTTAAGACGATTAGTGGCCAGGCGGTCTTCTGACGATAATTGGAGACGGGGTAGAAGTTCGGTGACGGATGGTGGTTGAACAGAAGTCTTATTACGGTTGGATGTTCGGAGTATTTTTGATGGATGGCTAATATTGATTCTCTTGATAATAGATCATTTATCAAGCATTTTAGTACCTTATTAATGTTAGAATTTGATGATCTTGGGCTCATCGGATTCTTCTTGTCGAGACCCTCGATTCAACTATAAGAATGTCATATTTGGATATCATTTGATATTCTAATTTATATTTTGATGCTTTCAAATATGCTTTGGGCCCTTAATTTGGATCCATTTTTGGGTTTGGATTGGATTGATTTTGATGTCGTTAGGCTCTTCTCTTTGAGAATGTCAATTCGACTATATGTTTTGCTAGAATCGGAATTAAGACGGCTCCAAATTATTTAAAAATTGATTATTATAACAAATTAAAAGTTATTTTTAATTTAAATTTAGTAAATTTAATTTATTTTTATTATTTAAAAATATTAATCATAAAATAGCAGGTTCTTAAAAACTAGAAGAGGTTTGGCGGGGAAACCGGTTAATTGCAAAGCTGGTTTTAGAGAAAATTTGAACCAGCTAGCCAACCAATTTCCCGTGTAGAACTGGCCAGTCTGATCTTATTTTTAAAACAATACTAAATTCTAATACTTTAATAGAGTAATGCTAATGACTTATTAAAATAACTTAGCATCAAATTAATACATAATATTAAAAAAATACATCATATTATTATGTGGATTAAGAATTAACTAAACACTCAATTTTCAAGTACATAAGATGATAATCATTTAAAGGTATAGCATCTTTTTATCAATTTGAAGTATCATAAATTTCTGTTAAATATGCGGGCCCTACATATGAATGGGAATGTACATTATTTCAATTTGATGGATCTAGTTATAAACTTAAAATATGAATCAAATATATATGGCCTTGATTGTCAGCATGCGAGTCATAAATTTTAAGGTAAATTCTCGATCAACCTAACTATGCTATCCATCGCCATCTAACAAGGATTCGTAGAGTTATTTCATTAATGACTATGATTCGCAAGTTGGATTTAATTTCGGAAGTAAATAAGCTATTATTAAGCTCCCAAATCCATTTAAAAGGGCAAAGAGAAAATTAAGTATGATTGTACTTCAGTCATAACAAATCTAATCTTATTGCTGAGTAAATCGTTCTTCTTAAAAATTAATTTACATTATACCATTGAATCCACTTCTTCATAGAAGTTATTAATTATATAGAAATAGAAATATCCTACCAACATAGAGGTTCACATCTCTGAGATGTGCTATGCTAGGGTTTCCTTCTCACAAGGCATTCCCTATTTTGTCGCCATGTTCGTGGCAAATGACTTAAAGATTTCGGTTTCTGAGTGGGCAATACATCTTCTAGATCTTTTCGTGATGATTTATGTGGTAGTTCTTCTTCTTTGTTTTTCCCGGATCTCAAAATCTCCTCACATCGTGGTTTGCCCTCATTGTGGATTTTGGAAGAGGAAGTTTTAGCACTCGCTGCTCCTTTCGAGTTCGCTTTAGTGGGAAAATTTCCTTCTCGTAGACATACGCTTGAGGTTATTCACAAATTCTATTTTAATCTTAAACTCAATGGAGAATCCTCAGTTATTACTTTCTAAATCCAAAGCATGTTCTGATCAAACTTTTGAATGACTTAGACTACTGTCGTGTGTTTTCTCACTGTTCATACTTTGTGAACAATTGCTTCATGAAGGTTTTTACGTGGACTCCTACCTTTGATATTGAAATTGAATAACCCATTATTCCTATATGAGTTTCTTTTCCCAACCTAAGACAGCATATTTTTTTCTCCAAGGATTCTTCATGGGCTTGGTTCTTTATATGTTTGGATGCCCTCTTAAAATTGATCATGCTACTTCTACTAGTTGTAGGCCTTCGATTGCGTGTGTCCTCATGGAATTGGATGTCATCAAAAAATTTCTTGATAAGGTTTGGGTTGCTCCTAATAGCTTGGGTTATATTCAATCGGTAGTTATGGAGGCTTTTCCCTCGTATTGTTCTCATTGTAAGTCTTTGGGGCATTCAAAACTTGAATGCCATATACTTCATCCACATTTGTCTAAAGTCCCATGTTTTCGATATTATGGGAGATATTAATCCTATAGTTTCAGAGTAGGTCAATAACTATAGTATTTTTCCTGTGATTTATGTTGTTGTTCATGACGATGCTAATAGTAGTCGGCCTACGTATGATGTGGGGCATTTAGTGGTGTTTGATCTGGGTATTGTTGATGTCCCTGTGGCTAGTTTGGATCCTCTTGCTGCTGATCTAAAGAGGGCTACTGTGCATGCGGGTTACTCACTAGTTGTTTCCCTTACTATTGTTGAGAAGTCCCCTATTGGTATTATTTATGGTGATAATCTGCTAGATGAGTTAGAGGGTAAATGTGAAGTTAATAAGGTGGTGAATGTTGGATTATCTAACTTGTGTATTACAATTGAAAGTTCTCTTGTAGCTGTTATGAATAAGTCAATGGGGGTGCTTGCTCTTGCTCACTTTGTTGATGCGCCAATTTCTTTAATTTCCAATAATTAGTTGAAAGCTCATTTGGTTAGCAAGTTGATATATTTCTCTGTTGATCGTTCTTATTGGTTGGATGCTTCCTCTAATATTGGGGGAGGGGCAGGGGTCATTTTAGCTAATCTGATAGACGAGTCTATATGTTCAGGCGCACGAAGGCACGGCACATCATGGCACATCCTGTTCATGTCATTTATCCCCCTGTTTTCAGAGCTATTCCTATTTGATTTAGTTGGAATATACGTTGCAATTTTGTAAATAAAATTTGTGGGACTCTCTTAGGACATGAAAGTGATTGTAATTTGCTTTTAGATATTGAGATTGTGTAATTCATGTTAGATGTTGTGTTTTTTGTTCAACTGTGATTATTGTGTAAAGCTTGTGTTCTTTAGTGTATGAATAAATTGATGTTTAAAGAAAGTTAAAGCTTGAAGTTAGTTCAAGTTCATCAATATTAAATTTTTATTTAAGCGCTCAAATTCTCAAATTAATTATATAAAAATATTTTTCCCCCTACAGATGAACCTTATATTATTGGTAACATCCTTTTCATGCAAAATTGAAGAAAATTTTAATTGTATTTTGAATTTGGACCTTCAAAATCAAAATCACTTGCAAATTTTAAAATTAATATGCTTGTGTTCTTTTGTGTATGAATAAATTGATGATTAAAGAAAGTTAAAGATTGAAGTTAGTTCAAGTTCATCTATATTAAATTTTTATTTAAGCCCTCAAATTCTCAAATTAATTATATAAAAATATTTTTTCCCATATAAGGAACCTTAGATTGTTGTTAACATCATTTTCTTGCAAAATTGGAGAAGATTTTAATTGTATTTTGAATTTGGACTTTCATAATCAAAATCACTTGCAAATTCCTTATATATAGAGAGAGAGAGAGCGAGAATTTTTTTTTTTTTTTTTTGCAATTTAATTTCTCCTAAGAATGCCTGTTGAAGCTTTTTTTTTTTTTTTTTTGGAAAAGCCAATTTATAGATGATGATTTTATATCAATCAAAAGAAAATGTCAAGGGCCCTTAAAAGAAACCAAAGCTTGTCATCAATGCTCCTCGAGCTAAAATTAAAAATGGAAAAAAAAAAAAAAAAAACTAAAGAGCACAGCTTTTGAGACTAGATAAGATATAAAAAGAAAAATAATGAGGCAAGAAATCAACCTAAAAAATGAAGCCTAAACTTTGATAGGCAACAAGATCGACTAATGAGGAACCAACATCAGAAACTTGTAAAATAAAATACCACAAGTAGATCTAGAACATGTGAACATGTTTAAAATGAAGACATCCAGGAATATAGAGACAAATCCAAAGTTGACAACATCCAACTCCACATATGAGAAGATTACAAAAGAAAATAGAAGAAGAAATCCCCTTAGAAGTCTAAACCCATAAATCAAAAAACATAATGAGATCAGGCAAAGCCCCAACAAATACCAAATATGCGGGAAGGATAGAAATAGGCAAAGAAATCAAAAGCCAAGTGATCTGTTGAAGTTTGAGCTTCGAAGGAAGACCTGAGTGGAGGTTTGTTTGTTGAAGTTTGAGCTTCCTAGGAAGACATAATTGGAGGTTGAGATTTAAAAAGATCAAATTTGAAGCAGTAATAAGCCCATTCACAATATTTGACCTTAATGCAGTTTAAATAGTTTTGTAGGACTGTAATTGAATTAAGTGAAGCTTGAGATTATCCTTACTCAAACTTGATTCTTTTTTTTTTTTTTTTAAGAGAAAGCAGAGAAAAGCTTTATTAATGGAAAAAAAGACTTTACAAACTACAAAAATCCGACTCCTCCTTTAACAAACTAATAAAGGAATGAGGGATATTATTAGTACCTAAATCATCCCAAAGAAAAGACCCAAAACAAGAATAAGTCGCACAAAGGTCGGCAAGCTTGTTGCTATCCCTACCCACATGATTGAAAACAACAAAATTAAATTCTTTAATGAAAGATAAATCTAAAGCTATTTGATCTCTTTTTCCATCATACCTTTGATGAACTTGATGACGTTTTTGTTATCTCCTTCAATTATGATTCCTTTGTTGACTCATCCACTCCTTGAAAACCAGTTTTAGAGAAATAATAGCCTGTAACTCCAATGCTCCCGGATCCCTGTATATAAGTTTTCTACCGAAAGCCAATAAGAGTCTTCCTTGATGAGCTCTGAAAGCTCCTCCTATCCCCGCCTTGTAGGATTTAAAAAGAGCAGCGTCAATGTTCACTTTTATCCAATCAGACGGAGGAGGATGCCAAGGTTTGAGCAACCGAGAGGGTTGATAAGCAACCTCATTGCCTGAAAAATAACAGCAGGAATTTTTGAAGGCAGCAGTATAGCTTACCGCATTGGAAGCTATCATTACAGGACTCAAAATTTTCTTCTCATGTATAAACGTGTTTCTTGCCTTCCAAAACTGATACACCGTATTGCAATATAGATTTATCATCCAAAGGTTTGATGATTTAGCCATTTGAAACAAGCATCCAATGACTGAAAAGAAGGAATTTCAAAACCCCACTTGTTTAAAACTTCCACCACATCAGTAAGTTTTTTGCATCCATAGACAATGTGATCATTGTCTTCAACCTTCTTGCATCCTCTAGGACATAAATCATTACCTTGTAATCTTCTATAGCACAAAAAATGGCTAGTTTGGACAGCCTTCTTGAATAGTCTCCACCACAAATCCACTCTAGGATTTAACTTTGATTTCTTAAACCAACTCCATTCAATACAATCAGCTTCCCCTGTTTCTAATGCTTCCACTGCTAAAGCAGTCAAAGATTTCCCAGTTAAATTGTTTAAAAGTTCCCAACTATCTTCTTCCTCTTCATGAATTTGAATTTGTGAGATTATCTTAACCAAATCAATCCCAAAAAAATTTTGCAATATCTGGATGTTCCACCTTCCATTTATAATGAACTTATCTACTGAAGCCTCCCCTTCTAAATCTGCATTTACAAACGTAGGCCAATACCTCAAGCTTTTATCGAGTATCCAGATATGTTTATGCACGTTGATTAACCTGCCATTACCAACAGACCATCTGACTAATGGCTTCAAGAATTCACCACCATTTTGAATAAGCTTCCATGAACTAGATCCTCCTCTTCTATTATAATCATCAACCATAATTGGGCCGTATTTTGGAAATAGAACCTTGTGCATAAGAGAATTTTTTTCCTGACAATACCTCAAAGACAACTTAACTCTTAATGGACCTGCTTTTGCCGAGCAGGAGCTTATGCCGAGACCACCTAGTTTTTTTGGTTTGCACATCATTTCCCAGCTCACATAATGCATTCCCTTCTTGCATTCGCTTTTGCTCCAGATAAAATCCCTGCAAGCCTTCTCAACTTCATACAATATTTTTTTTGGCACCAATGAAAGAGCAGTATGAAAAATCGGATAGGATAGTAAAACAGATTTCACTAAAGTAATCTTGCCAGCAAGAGAAATAAGCTTCCCTCCCCAAACATTTAGCATGTTTAGAGCTTTTTCAACAATCAATTGAAAATATGAAATTTTTAGTCTCCTCAAAGCCACTTTAGTACCCAAATAAGTGAATTCCTGAACCTCTTTAAAATTCATTATCTTACAAATCTTTCTCCTCCCTTTCTTCACCGCCAAACCAAAGAGTATACCAGATTTCTGCATATTGATCTTCTGTCCAGTCCAACCACAGAAGTCCAAAAGAATGCGTTTTGTTTCCTTAACTTATTTCTTATTTGCTCAGAAAAAATAATGATGTCATCGACATAAAGCAAGTGAGAAACTCTAGTACTGTTTGGAGAAATACTAATCCCATTTGAACTTCCTCTATGAAAGAATGCATTGGATAACAATTGAGCACACATAACAAATAAGAACAGAGAAAGAGGGCATCCTTGTCTCGAAAGCCGCATTTAGCATCAATCCACTTAGAATAGGTGCTGTTCACAAGAATAGAAAATTTAGGCCAAGTCACACATTCAACAATATAGTTTGCATATAAAGAAGGGAAATCAAAATACTTTAAAATTTTGATTAAAGTAGGCCACCCCATTGAGTCGTAAGCTTGCTCTACTCAAACTTGATTCAAAGCATTAATTTGTGAATCAAGCTTGAGCATAGTGGCGATATATGTTTTTCTCTTGAGGATGAATAAACTCATTAATTACAAAACTAAAAATATAAAAATAAAATTTTTTTAACACATTTTAAAGCAAAGTGTTATATTTTGTAATGATTGCTAAATCAAAAAATGATTACAAGTTTTGCAATGTATTTTATATATATTTGGTAACATTCTATTATGATTTCATTCGAAATCAAGTCAAATACTTCTTTTTAAATGTATGGTACTACTAAATCCTTGAAGTAATCATCATCCATTTCACTTGTTTTGCGGCTCTGCCGCAAAGGCTGAATTTCCTATAGTGGTAAACGATGCTTGATAATCTTCATTTAATAAAATGCTCTATCTATTGTAGCTATATCAACTGGCAAAGTCAATGCCAAATAATAAGCCTATGAGCTAGGATATATGCCACATCATTCTAAACAATAATAATTTATTTTATAAGATCAAAAAAATTAGTCAAAGATAAGAACTCATTACTAGCACATATATTAATAATATATAAAGATAGTTGTTGTTCAATAGTCCCAACTTGAATTGTAAGAAAATTAGTCAATTATAACACTGCAAGTCATATCAATTTTTACTTATAGTATGCATAGAATGAATTACTTGAGTTTAGATACGCCATATAAAGATGAAAGTCTATACTAAATTCAGAGAAGTGATTATTCAATTATTAAAATTGTATTTTAATAACAATATAATTAAATCAACATAATAATACTACAATTTATTATTTCATCACCTCTCCATACAGATCACTAGTGAGCCTTAAATTTAGAGTTTTATTTTTAATATCAATTTCAAAAATATTACAAAAATAAGATATTTTATCTAATGAAGAATCTCATCTAATATCTCTAAACATATGAAATTGTTAGTCAAATACTATATCATTTTTATTACTTCCACAATATCATAATATTTTCCTTATGAGACTTGTAAAAATCCATTTATAATGTATAACAAATCTATCATCAAGTGTATTGTCAAGACAAAGTAAAAAAATTACATTGCATCTATTAAGATGCTAGTTTCAACAAACTATTAATTATGCACTCCATCCTCCTTGATAATTTCAACCATTGCAAGTGTAGAAGCATATATTTTTATTTGCCAAATTAATGTTTTAAAATGCAAAAGCCAAGTATTATTACTAGCTCTATGCAAGTTAATCTCTTAGTTTGAACATCGATCACTACTTAGTTCCCTAATGGTACAACAACAACAACAATAACAACAACAACAACAACATCAAGCCTTTATCCCACTACATGGGGTCATGTACATGAATCTTTTTTTTTTTTTCCATAGTGTCATGTTAAAAGTCAAATTCTCATTTAAATCTAATAAAGAAAGATCATTTCTAATATTTTCTATCCAAGTCTTTCTAGGTCTACCTCAATCTTTCTTAACATAAGCCAAATTTAATACATCTACTCTCTTAGCAGGGTCATCAGAAGGTCACTATTTTACATGACTAAACCATCTATCTCTCTAATCTTATCTATTACTAGAGCTACTCCAACCTTTTCACTATTAAATTTATTTTGGATTCTGTCTCTAAGAGTAAATCCACTCATTCACCTGAGCATCCTCATCTCAGCAGCACAACTTAATATTATGCTTCTCTTTTAATGGACAACATTCTTCACCATAATTCATTGTAGGTCTCACCTCTATCTTATAATTTTTTTTCTTAATTTTGAGTGGTACTTTTCTATCGCACAATAAACCCAAAGCATTCCTCGAATTTAACCATCCAACTTGATTTCTACTAATAATATCCCCATCGGGTTCACCATCACTTTGAAATATCCCCATCAGGTTCACCATCACTTTGACTAATATACTCAAAATATCTAAAATGGATACACTTATTAATTACTTGATCGCTTGATGTCACAAACCCTCATTAGATCTATTACTACTAAAATTATAATCCATGCATTTGATTTTAGATCTACTCAAATGAAAACCTTTAGTCTCTAATGTTAAACTCTATAATTTATGTTTTTCTTCAGCTCCTTCTTTAGCCTTATAACCAACAATAATATCATTAGCAAAATGCACACACGATGTACATCCTCTTGCAAATGTCTAGTAAAATAAAGCAAAAAGATAAGGGCTTGAGGTTAATCTTTAGTATGATCAAACTGAAATAGAATAATACTTGGTCAATGTTGACCTCATTTTTGTATGAGGTCACTTGGGCCAATCTTGACCCTAGATTAATCCTGATCCCAGATTAATCCAGACCCTAGGATTTTCCTGAATTCTAAGATCCTTCTAGATTTTAGATCCTAAGTTCTATGATAAATCCTAGGATTCCTCCAGATAAATCTATATCTTAGGATTTATTTCAGATCTTAAGACTCTTTTAGATTTTAGACTTTAAGATTTATCCTAGACTATAGGATTCTTCCAAGTCAATTTAAATTCTAGGATTCTCCTAGATCTAGACCTTAAGATCTATTTAGGTCTTAGGATTCTTCAGGAGCCTAGATCATATAACCTATCTAGAACCTATGACTCCTCTAAGTCCTAGACCCTAGAATCCCTTTAGATTTTAGGATCAATCTAGACTTCAAACCAATCCTGGCCTTAAGCTAACCCATATCTCAATTCAAATCAAACCTCAATCAAAATCCAGTCTCTAGTCCAGTTCAAGATCTTAATCTCTAGTTCAAACCTTAATATTATTTCTAATCAAACTTCAACCTTATCCAATCAATTATGATCCTCCAAATGATCATGAATGATTTAGATAACTCAAACTTAATTAATCAAACTCAAAATCCAGATCAAATCCAAAATTCAAACCCAAATCCTAAGTCCAAAGGCCCTGTCCTAAAGACCTTTTTTAGGGATTTTTCAAACACTTCAAAACCCAGTCAATTGACCTCTAATTCTGAGTCTCTCAATTGCATACTGATGGGACATGTCTCTAGAGGCTACCCTCCAAATTTGAACCCATTCTGAGGTCTCTAACCCCAGAATCTAAATCAAAATTCAAAGGCTGTAAAACCTGTAAATATTTACAGTCTATGCCATTAGACTTGCCACTTGGTGAATTTTGACACTAGAGCCTTCACCAGAGCCTCTAGTCACTTCCAAACCCTTAATTATGACTCATTGAATATTAAACTGCATTTTGGTTGACCACTTTGACCCCCAGTTGACCAGGGTCAAAATGACCAAAATACCCCTTAAGGAGTCAAACATTGATTTCAAACAAAACGACCTCCGAATTGCTTGGAACCACTTCCAGCAAGTTTCAAATATCAAATCGAACCTGTTCAACTCAAACCCAGACCATGGATCACCTGGTTGACCAAGTCAACCTAGGTTGACCAAACAGGCCCTTAAGGGTCAAAACAGGCATTTTGACTGAATTGACCTCCCCAGACCTCGGGACCACCTCCGATGGTCTCCAAATATCATTTCAAATTGATTAAATATATTTCTAGACCCTGGACCCACCTGATTGACCAAGTCAACCAAGATTGACCTAATGAGCCCTTAAGAGTTCAAATGGGTCATTTCAACCCATTTAATCGGATCAATGCCTTTAAACTTTTAAACTCAATCAATTCAATGTCTTGAATATTTCTAAACTCATTTTGAGTCAAACCCAAGTCATTTTGGCCAAGTCAACCAATTTTGGCTTAGTGGCCCATTAAAGGCCCAATAGGCCTTTATGACCCAAAGTGATTCATTTGAACCCCTCTAACCCAAGCCCATCCAGCATTTCAAGGGGACTCTAGAACCTTCCTAGACCCTATCCCAGCCCTTAGATCAACATCCAATGGCTTAGATCACTCCATGTGTCAAAATGAGGACCAAGAGGCCTTTCCACATCATGTGTCCTCTTGTCCTTTGATCCTCTGCTCTCAACCACTCATGGGACACATGGCAACATCCCAGCAACCCTTGCATTCAATCCTTCAAATTTCATGCAATTTCGTTGAGTATTTTTAAAGTTATGGGCATTTGAAGTTTTCTAGCCCTGGTTCAACCAGAGCCGTCCGATCGCACCTTCAGCGTGATCGGACGGCCCAGAGATGACCCCGTGGCACGTTCCCATTTGGCGCCGCCATTCTGGCGATCAGTTTGACCAAGAATTGTCAAAAAAAATTCAAAAAATGCCCAAATCTTCCAAAATTCAGAGAAAATTGAATTTTTCACCAAATTGGAAGTTCTTAAACTCGTTGAAAAGGAAATTTAATGTAGTTGATTATAAAATTAAAATCAAGTTGATTTAGCCTCTGTATTGTGAGATATTTACAATCGTTTAAATTATGTTTTTTGTAATTTTCTCATAATCCAGTAGTCAACTGGAGTCCAAATTTTGGTGAAAGATTATTGGGTATCTTAAGCATGTTTATTGATTTTTTTAGGGTCAGATACCTAATGGTTTTTTGTGATGTGAATTTCCAAGATAAAATGTTCATTTTGGACTCTAAATTTTAAAAATTCATAACTCCTTAAATTCTCAATGTTTTGCTGTGAAATTTCTGTGGTGTGGATTAAT